GCATGTCTATACCCCATGGGAGAGGTCATGAGAAAATCTCATGCATAGATCTGCTTCTGCAATGTACTAAGTGGGAGCTCAGTAGAGGGAACAATAACTTTTGGGAAGACAATTGGGTGGGTCATGGTAGCTAAAGGGGATATTTCCTAGCATTTTCAGTATCACTCAAAACAAGAACTTGGCTGTAGAAGAGGCTTACCTGTGTTCGAATGGGAATGTGGTTTGGTCCATTAATGTTAATAGGAATTTGAATGATTGGGAGTTGGGGGAATATGAAGGTTTGCTGCAGCTTCTTGCAGAACAGAATATTTCTTGTGGTGATGATCAACTTTTGTGGTAATTGGAAAAAAATGGCTCATTTTCTGTTTCTTCTTATTATCATTTCTGTGTATGGAGAGTGAAGTGGGCAGGAGTATTTTTCCGGCAAAACAAATTTGGAAGACCAAGGTTCCTCCCCATGTTGTTTTTTTTGCTTGGGAGGCGTGCTGGGAGAAGATTATAACTATAGATAAGTTGAAAATTGAGGGCTGCATATTGGTGAATGGTTGCTACTGCTGTTTGAAGGCGGAAGAAACATGTAACCACTTATTATTGTGGTGTCCCATTGCCTACCGCTTGTGGACTTATCTATATGGTCTGTTGGGTATTGATTAGGTCGTTGTGGGATCGGTGGGGGAGAGATTTGGGCTTGGGATGGTTTAAATGTAAAAAATAAGTTAGCTAATGTGATCCCTTTGACAGTTTTTTGGGTCATCTGGAAAGAAAAGAATAGAGCGTTTGATAGTGAGATTAGTAGCATTACTAGGTTAAAAGATAGACGAATGCATTATTTTGGGTCTATATTGTTAGGATATGACATTATTAGTGATGTGGATTTTGGGAATGTTATTGATTCACTAAACTATTGTAAATCTTTTGTAAATGGGTGATATCTCCGTTTTTGGTACCTAGTTATTATACAGTTTACACTTTCAATTTAAAAGAAGATGCTTTTTATCAAAATTATCTTCAAAATTTATGTTTTCTATTTTTGTAGGCTTTCCAAAAATGGCAGAGTCAAAACCAGGATTGAGGAAACCAGTGTTTACTAAGGTTGATCAGCTGCGCCCAGGAACTAGTGGGCATACTTTAACAGTGAAGGTTGTCAGTGCAAAAATGGTATTACAGAAAGGTCGTGCTGATGGTCCTCAAGTACGTCAAATGCGAATTGCTGAATGCCTAGTTGGGGATGAGACAGGAATGATCATATTCACTGCTAGAAATGATCAAGGTTTGCATTCTCTTACAAATTTATTTGATTTTCTTATGAATTTTTTGTCATGCTTTGTTAGCTTGGTTGATCCTTATGAATTTTTTGTCATGTTTTGTTAGCATGGTTGATTCTGGAGAGCATTTCAGTCAAGAGCATGATACTTATTGTTATTGTGAATACATGCTTATTTAGCTGTTCTTTGGATTTTTTTTCTTAAATATATGTTATGCATCGTTATCTTTTCTTTCTTGGAGTTTCTGCATTATTTCATATCAGTGTGAGTGCTTCAGCAACCAAAAGGGGGTGAATGGAGATTTAGAAATTTTAAAAAATTAAGGATGATCTGAAATAGGTTTTTCAGGAGTTCTATTTAAATGGAAATCCCTAAAAAAGACAGATCTAAAAGGGTTTCTAATTATCATCCTACAAGCTTGGTGATTAATGTCTACAAAACTATTGCTAAGGTATTGTCAATATGCCTTAGTGCAGTTCTGGATGACACCATATCACCAAATCAAAGATCTTTTGTGGGAGGGAGACAAATCCTGGATGATGTGTCCCTCGTAGCAAACAAATCAGTCAAATATATGCAAAGGGCTAAGAAAGAGGGACTGGTTTTGAAGTTGGATTTGAAAAGGTGCATAACAGGGTTAATTGGAGTTTCTTGGATTTAGTCATGAACCAAAGGGTTTTGGATATAGATGGAGAAGTTGGATAAGAGAGTGTTTGTCCTTTGTATCATTCGCAATAATTGTGAATGAGAGGGCACATGATTGATTTATGGGCATGCGGGTTATTAGACAAGGTGATCCTCAATCTCTTTTTCTCTTTACTTTCATGGTGGATGGGTTGAGTAGAATGTTAAATAGAGGTTCTCAATGAGGGGCTATCGTGGGTTTTGCGGTTGGAAAGGATAGTGTTGAGGTAACCCATCAACAATTTGCTGATGACACAATTTTGTTCATATTACATGATCATAGGTCTTATCTCTAATGCACTCACACTCCTAAGGGTGTTTGAGTTGGCATCAGGGCTTCGCATCAATATGGCCAAATGTGGTATGGAAAGAATGAATATATGGACAATAGCATAACGAGCACCCTAGCTTGAGGCAGTTGGATGCGGGACCTTATCGTGGTCCATTACATATCTTGGCATTCCTTTGGTGGTAATCCTAGGTGTAAGTCATTTTGGGATGGAATGATTAGTAAAGTATCTAGACGGTTGGACAGGTGGAAATGGGGTCTCTTTTCCATGGGGGGTAGAGTGACCCTTATTCAGGCTTGTTTGTCTACTATGCCTATCTATTACATATTCTTGTTTAAGATTCCAGCTGGGATTATCAGGGAGTTAGAGGGCGTCATAAGGAATTTTTATGGCCTGGGTATGGGGAGGCCAGGAGAGATCAACTAGTGAATTGGGAGGTTTATTGCAAGTCTTGAAATTTTGGAGGTTTGGGCATCAGGAATTTATCATTATTG